AGATGTTATGCCTCAGAACATCCCGGCGGCGCCGACTGGGATTGAACCCAGGCCCGCTGGGGTGAGAGGTCCTCGCAATACTTCTCATCAACGTTTTAAACTTCTCTAAACTTTTTCGGACTTCCTAAAGTTTCCACAATTTCCCTAACGATCATGAATCTTCTCTAAACTTTTAACAATTCACGGAATTTCTAGAAACTTTTTTTAAGTTTATGTAATTTTTCTGCTCTGGAATATCTCTGCTCTGAGGATATCTATTCTTTCATGATTTTTTTTTTCGAGCTTTATTAGCAAGATCTATATGTTTCTTGAAGCTCTCGAAACTTCTCTAAAGTGTTTTCAGTTCTCAAGAAGCTAGTTGTACTAGCCTGAATTTAATTGAACTGTTCTAAAAAAATTTAAGCTGTCGTGAACTTCTGGACTTATGTGAAAACCTCGCCCCTGAACTTCGTTGATGTTCTCTAATCAACTAAGCTAAATTTTCGAAATTTTTTAGATCTTCAAATTGAAAAACCACCCTTGAAATACTCTCGCATTTTCCGGATGTTCATATAATTTGTATTGCATTCCAGAAATTTTCTCTGAGCAAAATTGAAGTTTCCGGAAATTCCCGGAAATTTTCTAGAAACTTCTTTAAGGTTTCTGCAATTTCCTTGAAATTTTTTATCGGCCCCTTTAAATCTTTGATCTGTTTTGATGTTCTTGGAGCTTTCCTAAAGCTCTTAATTCTAATGAAGATCTTGGTTCTGCTTTAAAATAAATGGAATTCTCGTAAATACCTTTAAACTTCCCTGGAATTCTCTGGATTTTTGTGCAGTTCCTGAAATATTCCTGAAGTTTTCATAAATTTTCTGAAGGTCTCTGTACTTCCCTGAAATTCTCGGAATATCTTAAGGGTTCTCGATTTTATTTCAACACATCATGGAGATATCCTGAACTCACGCTTATATAATTTTAAATCAATCCAATAGTCTGGACTAAAGTTTTGGGGACTTCCCATTAAGATCTCTGGAATTCCCCAGAGATCCCTAGGTCTAATTTTTCTGAAACAAATACAGGGCTGGTAGTGAGTATTTGATTTAATAGTAGTGACTTTAGTGACTAAAATAACTAAGATAGAGACCAAATAGTGACTTTTAAACAATAAAAAAGTGACCAATAGTGACATTTATTGATCAGAAAGATATGATTTCAATCTTCCATTGATTGCGATTGCCATTTTGAGAAATTTTATAAACTCACAAACCCATCATGCGCATTTTTCATGTTTCTAAAAAATTCAACAAACGGTTTAAGGATCCCATTTTCCTCAAAAAAATAAGTATGAATTGAATAATTGTTTAAACAAACTATTTACTAAGTTGATATTAGATCCAACTGATGATTAGATCGCATAATTGAGGCACAGAGAAAAATGTTTAAATTCAAAGATTTAGACAAAATTTGACAATTTTAGGACAGTCAATTTTAAATATCTAGGATATTGATGAAGCGATGCAATTAGCGATTAGTATTTTAATTTAAAAAAAATCTTTCTCCTCTATAGCCAAGAAGAGAATCTTTTTTAGATCGTAGTTTAAGAAACATCTCATAAGTATGGAACGAAGAAAATTATCCCAGATGGAAAGATCACGGACGTAAAACAAAATTTGAATGCGTCTAGGTCTGAAAATCTCGATCGTGAAAAATTAGGGATTTAGGTATGCATTTCAGAGTTTTGGACAAGGGGTAAGGGTTAAATTCGGCACAGCTTGGGCACATCCATCGGCACATCTTCGGCACAATTTCGTAGGCATCGGATCATTTTAAATAAAATGGGAGCACTGCTGGACAACTGTTATTGAAGTTGTTCACAACATTACGAGCTGTTTGACTGTATATTCAGTAACATCCTCTAATTGAATATACCAGAGGAACTCAGACCAGCAGTTAACATGTAGATCTAAATACGAAATGTAGGTTCTAGGGTGGGCTCAAGAAACAGAGGCAGTTAATCGGACCCCATTAATACCCTTAATTCGAATAATGCTGCAACTCACACCAAACAAATTACAGAAGTCTATTCATCATCCTCTATAGTCGATCTTGAACCATGTTCCCCATCGGTTTCAACTCTTTCCGGCCGCTAATAGACTGTTGTTTTTCACATCACGAAAGACTAGGCTTCTGATCTGCCTTTGAGGGCATCATAATACCTTAAAACACAGGACTTTTATTATCCTATGAACACAAAACACCGAAATTTCGCACACCCGCCACTTCCCCCGTTATACTCAATCCGATTTATCCCTGCGATTTCAAACCAAAACATTCAAGGTGTCAGAAATACCGGGTTGCCGGGATGGGTAATTTACAAACAATCGCAGCTCGCTCTATGACCGGCACAATCGGCACACCTGTGGCACACTGACAAAAAGATGACCCAGGATTGGAATGTGGAGTGACCTACCCCTTGGTTTTGGACCATTTTTTTTTTGGGCATAAAAATTCGAGATCTCTAAGACAACCAAATTGAGAAAATTGCAAGGCCTGAAATAATTTTCTATATTTTGTACATATAGTATGTAAGTTAACAGTCCTTAAGCAATTTAAATGCTTCTGAAACATAGAAAATATGTTATGATCATGACATATTTTGTTTTTCTATAATCTGGACCTGGAAATTTGTTTTCGTAGTACCGGATTATTAATACGAAAAAATGCAATACAAGAACTCCTGATTTTGAACAAATGCTAAAGCTACCGGGTGACAGAGATTATTCAAATTTCTGACCTTTGAAAAAATGTCGAGAGCTTGAGCTCTTTCCTAGATTATTTTTTAACATTTTAGGCTTGGGATACATGCAAGATCTTGAAGGAAAATAGCCAGGCTATTGGGTCTAGAACTTTTTTTGAAACCTCTTACAATTTGTGAAAGGTCTATAACCAATTCGAGATCAAACTAATAAAAATATTAGTGATTTCGCTAACATCAATTTTACAGTTAACATTTCCGTCTGTTCGCAACTTTTCTTGCCCGTCAGAATTTACACGGATTTTTAATGAATTTTTCTCACACACATTCGTTACCAAATCAATCTGTGATTTGATGTGAGTTTTTAAAGTAGTTTTTTTTCTCAACATTGGTAGTAAAAAAGTGACTTTAGTGACTAAAATTTTAGGAATAGTGACTTTAGTGACCTTTTGATGAAAAAAGAGACTTTTTAGTGACTGGCTTGAAAATAGTGACCAAGTGACTAAAAAGTGACCAGCCCTGCAAATAGAACTTCTTAAAAGTTTCCACAATTTTGCTAGTACTAAACTAGAAGACATTAAAAGTGTTGTGATCTTAGACCTATTAAAATGAAGTAAAGCTGTTTCTGTAAAATTGATTGTCTTGTCTTCAGTGGCGTCGCGTCCACATGTGCAACCTGTGCACGACACAGGTGTTTAGATTTTTATAGATTTTTTGGTCACATTAAAGCTGTACTATTTTATAGTGTGGCTCAATTGAATCTTCGACCTTGGTTTGCTTCAAAAAGTATTACATTCAGTTCGGATGGTCTGTCTTATCTGCATTGATCTCTAAGCATGTCGATATCACTACCTTGACAAAACTCGTCAAATAGTGCACCTAAAAGTGAGCTTTTTTGGGTGGCGAGTGGCAAGTTTGTGAATGTTCAAATGCCTGATGTAAGCCAAGCAGACACCTCTTGAAACATATCAAAATTTTCCACATTACACGGCGGTTTGCACCACTAGTTGTAATTGAAACTTTCAGCAGTCACGCGTCAAACGAGAGCAACACGCAAACAGCAGTCTGGTACGCTTTGGACGTGTATGACCTTGCAGACCAGTTTAAATTAGAAGAACACTTGTGACGTATGAGTGCCTAAAGCGTGCATTTCTCGGTGTGCACTTGGATATCTGATTGCAGACAAAGAGAGTAATGGAGAAAGAGAGCGCAAAAGCTCGCTCCCACTCTCTTGTCAGTTGTAAATCTCTCAATTACCGATGGTTGCGCCAGTGCCAGGCGAGTAAGAGAGGTGCCACAGTCGGAAGAAGTGTTAGTTTGTTTACTTAAATGAACCATGCCCATTTTGTTATGGCAAGTTTGCTATAAGAAATGCTCCTCGTGTTTATTAGCGAAATTCACATCCGGTCGTACGAAACAGGTCAAAAACAGTCCAAATCCGCAGATAAAAATTTTTGTTTTGAATTTCTGTATGGCAAAATAGTGAACTTTTCGTGAACATTAACGGCAAAGAACTCACCAACACTGGGAGACCGTGAGTTCCTGCCCACCTGTCTTAAAAACATCTCGGCGCCAGTGTGCTTCCCCTGGTTCATTCTGATAGTGTTGTTAAGTTTTGCAATTCCTCCTACTTCGGTTAGCACGAAAAGGGCCATAAAAGTTTTGTTTACTCAAGATGATAGGCCCTTTAAATGTTGCGTTTGGTAGTGATTAACATAGTAATTGAGAATATGTCCCTCGAATTCATGGAGCATTGAAAAATAAAACAAAAACTAATATGTGATGGTAAACTATAACGAACAAAGTTCAGTGCACAGGTAAACAAATGAGGCGACGCCTCTGCTTGTCTTAAACACGTTTTCGTTAATTGCTGTTGTTATTTTGCAAAAAAACAACATATTTTTAACGCATTTCATAAAGAGCTATCTTATCATAAACCTGGAAATCAAGTTATGGAAAAACATGGAAAACTCAGGGAACAAGGTTGTCAACTTAGAACAGTTCAAAAATTAGAACAAAATGTACGCCTATCCTATTCACTGCACGAAGAATGATCGATCTTGAAATAAATGTACGTTATTTTTTTTTTTTTTAAATGGTGACTGATTACAAGAAAAAGTGACTTTTGTGACTTGACCTTCAATAAGGAGGCTTGAAAAAAGTGACCAATTCACTAAAAAGTGACTCGCTACCAGCCCTGAGATGTAACTCACCCTGCCCTAAATCAAGGATCAAAATCAATCAAAAACGTTGGATCTCTACTTACTGATGCGTCGTCACATTGAAGAACAGATGGCTGTACTGCGGTGCCGAATCCTCCGGACCATGCGGCGCTGGGAAGCTCATCGTCAACAGCACCGGCTTCCGGTGGTTCTGATGCTTGCTCTGCCGCAGGAACGCAATCGAATCGTTCGCAATCAAGTCCGGATAGTAATCCTTGGCGTAGTCGAACCCGTGCTTGATCTTCTGCCCGTTCATGTTGATGCTGTAGTTGTAGTACTTGGAGTTCATTATCAACCCTCCCCACTCGCGCCACCCCGGCGGGATGTACGAGCCATTGTACTTGTTGAGATACTTGCCGAAATAACCGGTTCGGTAGCCCGCGTTCGAAAGATACGTCGCAAACGAGCGTGTTTCGTGGGTGGTCTGCCAGGTGGTACTGGAGCAGTTGTCGTTGTTGGTGAACACGTTGTGATTGTGGACGTACATTCCCGTTAGGATCGAGGACCTTGCCGGGCAGCACATCGGCGTGGTTGTGTATGCATGACGAAACTCGGCACCACCCTGTCGCAGGAGACGCAACGTGCGGGGCATGAAGTTCAGCGAGCCGAGTTCAACGTCCTGATCGTCGGTCAGAATGAGAATGATGTTCGGTTTACGTTCCCGTGCCTGCCGGATAATGTCATTGATGGGGGAGTCCTGCGCGAGGATTCCCTCGACGACACCACTCTTCTTGACCCGCCCGCGGCCATCATGAGGGGCGCGAGCTCGACGATACGCAGATCTCCGATGGTGACCTTCCCGATAGTGATGACGTCTTCGCTGTTGGTACGGATTTTGCTGATAGTATCCATCTGAAGGATAATCACCGTGCGTTAGAGATCCCGAAGAACCATCACTTCCAGCACTTCCTGCAGCTTTGCTCACACAATAAATCACAACGATTAAACCTACTAACACTAATCTATATTTTAAACACAACTCGAGCCAACGAAGCGCCATCGTTTTCTGCCTTGGGCCACGCGTTCAACTCTCACAGATGTATTCTTCCTTCGCTTTTTCCCCTGGTTCGCCTAAAAATATCACAGACACCAGGACCAAAACGAAAAATCACTGAAAGTAGAAAAACACCACGTCACTTCCTTGGCGGCCCTTCGACGGCCTTAATGATTGCTGCGGAACACCACCAGTGCTGCTATTAAAATATTTCCTCTTCGTTTGCACACATTTTCCACTTAATTACATTCATAATAATAATCAACTTGATTAATGGCATTATGCGCGCCGGAGTATTAGTCGCCGAGGAGCAACGGTTGCCGACTCTCCTCAGAAGAGATGCTATCTGTCCGTCTGTCAGTCAGTGTTTAAACGCAAACCATTCGCGAGCCGAAGTCAACGAGCGAGAGAGAGAGTGATTCAAGCGGCAGTGATCAAGACGACGATGATGCTCCTTGGCGCTGACTTTTCCGATGCGACTCGTTGAAGATGATCAGACCTAACGTCGTCGTGGGTCATTTCACGCCTCCGATCAGGACTGCAAACCCAGCGCTGTGGCACTGAAAGAGAACGGGAGAAATTGAAACAAAGAATTAGTCCGTCTGATAGTCCAACGATTTCTAACAAAGAGGCGCCATTTGACGACAGCACATATTCACTTCCAAGGGTACCTCGAAGAGGAGGGGTCGAAAAAGATGTTTTCCGTTTTCAAAGACATGAATATTTGTCATCTCCTGTGTCGTGTCGTCTCATATTGTTTTATGATGCATCATAAATCCCATCGTTAGCATTTTCATCTCGTTCGACGACGATGACAAAGACAGACCCAGAAGCCGATGGGGGATCTAAAACAAAACGACCGATAATCAGCGGACTACCAACCGAGAGCATGGTTCTCCCATAAATTTCATCAACTGCTTGCTCAGGTTCTTTCTCCACAAACGGAGGAGCAGTTCCAGACATTCCGACGACAGCACGTCAGAGCATTAGCGCGGTGTTTGCCATAGAGGTGATATATTTGATGTCTGTTTCTCTCCTATCGACATTCCCTCTGGCTTGCTTGGACGGGTGGCGATCGAATATATAACAGAGGATGGTGACCGAACCGTGGTCGTTATTTTTCCTGTACTTAACCGTTGTTGTCTACCCGCCAGTTTGTCTACCGAAATGCGTAGGACTCTTTTTTTTTTCTCGATTTGTTTTCGATTTTTCTTGGCAAGTTTTTCCATATGTCACGGTCGAGCTGCTGCCGACATGTAGGTTAGTCGGATCATTGCTACTGGGGATTGGAATGCCCAATTTATCATCGTGTTTGGGCTTGAGCTGTCGGTTTGGTACCTTAAAGTGTGGGGGATCAAATTTGAACACTACGCTATTAATGATGGGAAGCATAAGAAGCAAAAGAAGTAGAAGCATACAGTTGGTTGAAGGGTTTTACTTCCAGAAGCAACCGATAATCATCCGGTTAACCTTTGCGTGCCTAACGTCTGAATTTGCATAGATTTCAAAATTCGATTAGCTCTAAAAACATAATTTCTCAATCTTTTTCTTCACAACAAATTGCATTTTGTCGGGAATCTATTGAAGTTTTTGATTCTATCTGAAAATATTTGGATCAATACATGGTTCCGGAGTTATTCCGGTTCCCGTTGGGGTCACTTTTGGTCGGCATTCGGCTTAACTGTTCTGTAATATGTATACACACGATGAACATCATGTTTTTTCTCTCAAATGATGTAATTGGACCAATGGCAGCTATACCGATGGTCCACGATCACATTGGGCATCCCGGAAATGTTCCGGTGCCCCGGAAAAGTGGCCAAATCTCAACAAGAACCAAAACCCGTCATGCGACATTTCAAACTTCATGATTTGACAAATCTTGGCCAGTAATGGCCTTATTGAGAGTCCATGGTCACACTAGCCCTCCCAGACATGTTCCGGTGCCCCAGGGGAATTTGCCAATTCTCAACAAGAACCAAAACCCATCGTGCGACACATCAAACTTCACGATTTGACAAATCTTGGCCAGTAATGATCTTATTGAGAGTCCATGGTCACACTAGCCCTCCCGGGCATGTTCCCCGTTCAAGTGGCCGATTCTCCACAAGAACCAAAACACGTTATGCGACATATCAAACTTTATGATTCTGCTGAACTCGGCCAGTAATGGTCTTTTTGAGAGCCCACGATCCCATTGGCCCTCCCTGGCACGTTCCGGTGTCCCCGGGTATATTTGCTTTTATTATAAGAAACAGCAATTAAGTTGACAGAGTTGATTTATTTCTCTTCTTAGAAGTTGATGGTTCAGAATTTTTCTCAATGTCGTCTATCGATTCTCGATCCGTCGATAGAAGCAACACAGTTTTACCATAGAGGTAACTCTAAGACTAGAAGGTCCTGAAATAACGTGCTCAACTTTTTGGCTCAGCTCTGGTACTCTCTTCGGTCTCAAGCTAATCGATTTACCCCTCGAAACATAGGAAAAACTACTAACCCCTCATTTTATCTATCAAACTTTCATAGCGAATCGAAACAAACATTGCGTAGTACTAGAATTTCGACTAGAATGGGATACGTTAATCGTTTGCTTGGGACCAATAGGCTAGTCAAGTAGTGAGCCAATTTAAAATCGTTAGTTTCGTATTGATTGTTGGTTTTACCCTTACGCTCGGTCCAAGATGTGAGCATAATTTCTTCACTGTAATCATGTAGTACAGTGCCAGGCTCTATTTTTTTTTCTTATCGATGAACTCTGGTGGGATTTCTTTTTGATTGCATCTTAGAATACCCAAGGACACAAGATCTTTGTCAAGCAAACCTTTAGCTAGAGGCAAGGTTGCAATTACTCATTTCCGCTAAAACAATGTTTTTGTTTAATTATGAAATAATTAGATGTCATGATCATATTTTGAATTGGTAGCATACAAGAAGAGGTTGCAAAGAATGAGAGTCACAATCAGCGATTTTTCACACACTCACTCACTCACTCACTCACTCACTCACTCACTCACTCACTTACTCACTCACTCAGCGATCAGAAAATCGCTGATTGTGACTCATAGAAAGCAAAATTTACAGGTTTTATGTTTCAAACGCATACTTTGTAACCTCTTTTTGTAAGTTACAAGTAAAACATGCCATCATACCATCTTTTGGTTTTATTATTCCGAAAAACATTATTTTAGCTGAAATAAGTATTTGCAACCTTGGCTGGAGGTACTGATGTAAAAAAGTTATCGAAAAAAACCCTGCGTCCAGAGTTGTAGAATGGTTTCATCAGTTGTGTTACAACACGCTGTCCTTGATTCTTCTCGGGTTTATCGTTGATTTTTCCTAATAAATAATAATAATTTGCCTTGTCATTAGAGAAGATGTCGGCTTCGGCATGTCTTTAGCTTATAATTGTCAGGGGTTGAATAAAGTCGTAGAGTGTTAAGTTGCCCAAAAGGATACTCTGGAGCAGGCATGGAAAATCATTTGCATTCATTTCGTACATTCATTTACATTCATTTGCCCCTAACTTTTTTCATCAACAGAATTTCGCAAAATGATGTATGGAGCTTTTGTAGGTTTTGTTATTCGCTACAACTTTTGTTAAGAACTCAAATCCGTATCTCCTATACATGGCGAACCAGAGCAAACAGAATCCACTACTGTTTTTCAGTGAATCTATTTTACATTGACTGAAAAACAGTAACGACTTCTGCAGGCTCTAATTCGTGATGCATAAGAGATACAGATTTGAGTTCTTAACAAAAGTTGTAGTTAATAACAAAACCTACAAAAGTTCTATACATCATTTTGCTGAATGCTGCTGATAAAAAAGTTAGAGGCAAATGAATGTAAATGAATGCATGAAATGAATGTAAATGATTTTCCATACCTGCTCTGGAGCATGACGCATCTTCATGCACTCCCTGACGATAATAGGTTAAGAAGTACCGAAGCTGTTTTGCCCCTACAATAAAAAATAAAATTCACGTAATCTGAAAAATTTAACAAGACTCACGATCGTAGTACGAAAGCAGCAAGATAAGTATTAGCTGAATACAAAATAACAAAAAAGTCAATTAACAATTGTATTTTAATCAGGAATCGTATGTACGCTTTAAATCACTTGCACAGGTTTTTTTTTTTCGAGAGCAGGAGACAAGAGAAAGCATGTTACAATTTTGAAAGATGTGCGATCTATGAAAGAGCGCACAAAATAAGAACAAAATAAGCTCATTGCAATAAAAAGTAGTTCCAAAATCAATGTAAAATGAGCAACATTTTGGGTCTTAGTTCCGTATCATGGAACAATATTGTGCTTCAGTGAAACTTTAAAAATTGTTATATTTTGGAAAATGAGATAATTATGCATGAGCGTTTATTTTTAATTAGCAAAAGCTCATAGTATCAGGTCATTGCACATGTATGTGCTTTGTGCAGTTCCATATCCCTGATTGTAATCATGTAATCAGAGATTAAAATAAAAGGTTAAGTCATGAAGAAGTGAACATTTTAAATTTTAGTATTACACAATGTTGTCAATGTTGTTATAACATGATTCAAATAAAATAATTAATTCACAAGAAGATCATATTATTAACCTGTATAAATGTCAAAATTGGTGAGAACAGAAGTTTGAGCATCAACTGCAGCCCAAACTTTTATGTCGTATCTACATGGTTTTCCTTTCATGTAGACGCTATCCAGTCACATCCATAGAAGGAATGTAAAAGCTACACATATTTTATCGGATTTTTTCAGTTATTGGGCGAATCAGTCGCAATCGATCAGTTGCCAGGGTTGGCCGTTCAGACCCTAAGTTTAATGCTGTAGATTTGGCTAGTTTCGCCGCTACCTTCATAGATCGGGCAGGTCGTCTTGCCAACGAATCATCGAACAGAATATATCGGCATATCTGCTGAAATCTAAACACGAAACATAATATAATCACCAAGGAACTTAATTTTAGTCAACAACTACCTGTTTCGACTCATGATGGCAGAATAAAATACGCGTGTCATAAGCTCGTTACTTGACCATAGCTCCCGAGTATTAATTTTGGAATCATGATTTTCCCAGCACCAATCAAAATTCCAATAAACGCATGCATTGAATCTATATTTACAGGCTTGAATAAAGTGTCATGGCCACCTTCCGCATTCGTGTATTTTACAATAGTTTCAATAATACTGCGGTCCATGAACACATCAAACGCATCTTTAAGCGTATTAATTTTCTCTATATCAACAGCGAATTTTCCATTACTGACGTGATTATGCCGCACAACTGAACTGATATATCACACGATGGGTTTTGGTTCTTGTTGAGAATTGGCCACTTCCCCGGGGGCACCGGAACATGTCTGGGAGGGCTAGTGTGACCATGGACTCTCAATAAGACCATTACTGGCCAAGATTTGTCAAATCGTGAAGTTTGATATGTCGCACGTTGGGTTTTGGTTCTTGTTGAGATTTGGCCACTTCCCCGGGGGCACCGGAACATTACCGGGAAGGCTAGTGCGACTATGGACTCTCAATAAGGCCATCACTGCCCAAAGTTTGTCAAA